ACTTCAACTCAAAAAAAAAAAAAAAAAAAAGGTTTCATAATGGGGCCTGTCTTGGATCTGTGGGATCTGTGAAAATGTCCCAGTTGCATAGTCTCCTGGCATTACTTTGGTGTGTTACTAATCAAACACTAAATAGAGGTAATAAGGGTAAAAGGTCCTCCAGAAAGCTGTCAGTCTCAGGGAGTTTCTGGGGAAATAATGGAATGGTGAGTGCTCTTGTCACTAACTGGGTGCTTCCTTTCTCACCTTCCAAGGTGGTGTGGTCCCTGCAAGATCCTGGGGCCAAGGTTAGAGAAGATGGTGGCCAAACAGCATGGGAAGGTGGTGATGGCCAAGGTGGACATTGATGACCACACAGACCTTGCCATTGAGTATGAGGTATGGTTGAAGGGGGTTGCCACCAAGCAGCCAGCCTAGAGGATATCACGGGGCCCATGGGCAGGTAGGGCTGGGAGATGCCTTGGGGATTACAGGTAGCCAGCCAGGGGTTGTCTTACCATTTTCTAGAACTCTTCTCAGATAGAAGACTCTGTTGATCCCTGAGCCACTCTTCTTTCTTCACCAGTACCTTTAGGAAATGGATTGCGTGACCCAAAACATTGTCTTAGTCCTGGAACATTGCTCCATTTGTTTATCCATCCATCCACTTGTTCAGCCAACCATTGTTTGCGAGTCCTGCTGTGTGCCAGGCATTCCTGGTTTTCATTCCTGATCCTTGTCCCCAGCAGCTCCTAGTCTAGCGGAAGAGAACAATGTGTGTAGACAGATCATTTCAGTGTAAGCAGGAAGTGTTGAGAGAAGTGGCACATGAAGGAAGAAGAGACTGATCCTTGGGCAGGGGGAAGAGACGGGGAATACTTGACATTCGAGAGACTCTCTGAACTGACCCACAAAGGATGCAGAGAAGGAAGGGCCAAGGGGACAGCATGCAAAAGACAGGAGGTAATTGAATGTGGTTGATCTGTGCATTTATTCAGCAGGTATTTGAGAATCCCTCAATGCCAGGTGCTGTTACTTGGTGCTGAGGATATAGCAGTGAACAAAACTGACAAAATCTCTGCCTTTGTGGAACCTATCTCCTAGGGATTCTTTTGTTTTGTTTTTATTTTTTGTAGAGATGAGGTCTCACTATGTTGTCCAGGCTGATCTTGAACTCCTGGACTCAAACAGTCCTTCCTCCTAGGCCTCCCACTGTGCTGGTATTACAGACGTGAGCCACCGTGGCTGGCCTACATTCTAGTATTTTAAATCAGAGGTCGGCAGACTTTTTCTCTAAAAGACAAGTTGGTAAATATTTGGAACTTTGCAGAGCAGTGGTCTCTGCTGCAACTATTCAGCTGTCCTTGCAGCTGAAAGCAGTCATAGACAGTATACGAATGAAAAGGTATGGCTATATTCCAGTAAAACTTATTTACAAAGGTAGCAGCAGACTGTATAGTTTGCTGTATAGTTTGTTAAAAAAGAGTTTCGAGGTTAAGGCTTCACTCTAACTAGATCAGCTCAAGTAGAGATGCCCACCCTTTAACCAGTTTTAGGTAATAAGTTGCGTAGAGAAAAATAAATCAGGAAGAGGGGGTGGGAGTGCTGAGCACAGGGTGAGGAGGACTTTATTTCCTAAAAGAGTGGGCTAGAGGTGGTCTTGCTGAGAAACTGACACCTGATCAAAGACCTAAAGGGAGTGAGGAGTGATACCTTCAGGTCTTTGGAAGAGCCATCCAGGCAGAGCAAAGGCCCTGAGGCCAGAGGAGCCTGGGTTGCTCACAGACCAGCAGGGGCTGTGTGCCTAGAGGTGTCTGTAGTGTGGAGCATCCTCTGAGCCTTAGAGACCACTGCAGTTGGAGAAAGAAGAGGGGTCCCTTGTGACTAGGTGGCCACAGTGAAGGATCGAGCACCAAGCTGGGGTCAGGCAGCTGGGAAAGCAGGACTATGGCCAAATTGGCAGGGTTCTCTGGATAGCCATGCCAAGGGTAGCGTTATCACAGAGCCAAGGTCACACCTGCTGCCTGTGGACTGCGTCTGACTCACAGACATGTTGGTTCTAGCCATTGAAGTATTTTGAAGAAATAGGGAACCAGATGCTGAGATTTAAAACTCAGAAAATTTCATGTGAAAAAGCTAGATTTCTGGTTTTCTTGAAACATCTTATTCTGGCCAGGGTGAGCCCTCATCCCTTCCTCCTTCCTCCTCCGGGTAAAAGAGAGGGCCTTTTTCTTCTTCATAGTTTAGAGGGCCTGGCCAGGTGCAGTGCCTCATCCTGTACCTGCGGCAGGAGAATCGCTAGAGCCCAGGAATTCAAGACCAACCTGGGAAACATAGTGAGACCTTGTCTCTACACAAAGTATAAAAATTAACTGGGCATGGTGGCACATACCTATAGTCCCAGCTAATTGGGAGGCTGAGGTAGAAGGATTGCCTGAGCCCAGGAAGTCAAAGCTGCAGTGAGCCACGATCATACCAATGCACTGCAGCCTGGGCGACATGGTGAGACCCTGCTTAAAAAAAAAAAAAGAAAAAAAAAGAGTTTCGAGGTTAAGGCTTCACTCTAACTAGATCAGCTCAAGTAGAGATGCCCACCCTTTAACCAGTTCCCCTGGGGAAAGAAATGTGTTGGGAGGGGGGCGGGTGAGAACAGGCTGTAGCTTCACCTTGACATGGCTGGGCAGGGGGTGGCGGGCAGTTACCCAGAGCAGGCTGCTGTGACCAGAAGCAAGGGGAATAGATGCCAAGTCAATGAAGCCACAGTGACCACTGCACATGGTCATTGAAGTAGGCTGTTCTTGGGACCTGGTGACCCAGGGCTGCTTATGGGGAGGTGAGTCGCTGTTTTCATGAAGCTCTCCCACTGATTGCTCAGGCAAGGGGATGTTGATCTTTTAGACACCCCTGGCTTCCCCTCCCTGTCCATGTCTCACTGCAGAGCTCACAGCAGCTGTAGGCTTGAGGGTGTGACTGCTGTGACCCCAGGCTGGAGCTCCTGGGACCTCCCATGGGGCTGTGAGCAGCCTTCAGGTGTCTCAGGTCTTCTGGCACTGCTGGCCACCACTTAGCCTCAGCCTGTGTGACTTTCCAGCATACCTCCTGAAGGCCTGCCAGGTGCCAGGGCACACATGAATAGAAGACCCCAGTTCCTGCCACGGTGGTCCCACGAGATGTTAGGAATACCTAGGACCATCCCTACCTGCACTCCAGGGCACCTGCTATGGGGGTAGGCATCAAGGTCCTGTGGTTACACCAAGAAAGTAAGGAGAGAATCCTTTCACAGGGTCTCCTCGCCCTCCCCTCCTCCCTCTGTCCACTGTCTGGGACTGCACCGGTCACAGGACGGCCTCAAGGCTGCTGGGCCTCATCACCTGGTCTCAGCCTCGTTGTGTTGCCAAACCCTGGACTGAGATCATGGCAGGGCTTAGGAAGCTCCAGCTGGGCCTCCTTCCTGATCCCTCCCATCCCTTTCCCCCCCTTCCCTCCCTCCTTCCTTCCTTCCTTCCTTCCTCCCTCCCTCCTTCCCTTCCTTCCTACCTGTTCTTTCTGAGGAGGACGTTCCCCCTAAGGGACAACTTCCCTCCAGGCCTCGAGTCCTCTTCCAAATGTTGGGTGAACTTGCTAGAAAAACGCAAGTCTATTTAGGGAGCAGGAGCTTTTCCCACGCTCCCCTGACAGCCCAGCCCCAGCACACATGCTTGGCGAGTCTCCTCCTCCCACCAATTCCCCCTCTTGAACCACTCTGCACCGCTGACGCCTGCCACTCTAGAACTTCTCTGTCTTCCAAGGGAGAGGTAGCGGAGGTCCCTCAGGTCCTTGGGCTCAGATACCCCACTCCTATTTCCTCAGACTCTGGGCTGCCTAGGCTGGTGGGACGCCAAGGTCTCCACTCCCCTGTCTCATTCCCAACCTTTACTGGACCTTGCTGGCTCCTGGGGGAAGGATGGGAGAGCGGACCAGGTGTGGGCCTCGAGCCTTTGTGCTTCCTGTTGGGCTCACCTGGCCTTACTCTTGGAGGGGTGATTCTTTTATTTTCTTATATTGTAGAAGTGAGTGCCCTTTAAGAAGCATTTGAGGCCGGACTCCGTGGCTCAGCCTGTAATCCCAGCGCTTTGGGAGGCCGAGGTGAGTGGATGGCCTGAGCCCGCGGGTTCAAGGCCCTCCTGGGCAACTTGGCGAGACCTCATCTCTACAATAAATCAAAAAACCAGCCGGCCGTGGTAGCACACGCCTGTAGTTCCAGCTGCTTTGGAAGGCTGAAGTGGAAGGATCGGTGGAGCCCAGCAGGTTGAGGCTGCAGTGGCCGCTCCCGGTCAATGCACTCCAGTCTGGGTGACAGAGTGGGACTCCAACTCAAAAACAAAAAAAAAGAAGAAGCATTTGAAAATACAGTCAGGTGACATTAAGGGGGACAAGTCACCTATAGTCTGACCAGCCAAACATCCCCCACTGTCACTCTTTAGGGTAACTTGTTTTGAGTTTATTTTTTATTTTTTATTTTTTTGAGTTGGAGTCTCACTCTGTCACTCAAACTGGAGTGCAGTGGCACGCTCCCGGCCACCGCAGCCTCAACCTGCTGGGGTCCGGCAATCCTTCCACCTCAGTCTTCCAAGTAGCCGGAACTACAGGCTTCCACTACCATGCCCAGCTAATTTTTTTTTATTTATTTATTGTAGAGATGAGGTCTCACCAAGTTCCCCGGGCAGGTCTTGAACCCGTGGGCTCAGGCAATCTACTCGCCTCGGCCTCCCAAAGCACTGAGATTAAAGGCTGAGCCACCGAGCCCTGCCAGGGCTACTCTTTTATTTATTTATTTATTTATTTTTTGAGTTGGAGTCTCACTCTGTCGCCCAGACTGGAGTGCAGGGGCCGCTCCCGGCCACCGCAGCCTCGACCTGGCTGCCTGTCAGCGAGAAGCGTCATTGGATGAAAGTGTTATAGCATGTGTTGGTCATTCCTGTGTTCGTCCAGTATCACACAGAACAGTCCCTGCACCCTCGAGCCCCCCATGCTCCACCCGTTCATCTCCTGCCCCTCCTCACACACACCACCCTAAGCCCCCGGCAACCACTGTCTCTTTTTTGAAGATTTTGTCTTTAAGGCAGTTTTAGGTTCACAACAAAATTGAGAGGAAGGTACAGAGCTTTTCTGTACACCCCACACACATGCCCAACCTCCTCACTGTCAACACCCCCAAATTCCATAGTTTACATGAGAGTCAGTCACTCCTGGGGTCTGCACACAGGTATGACAGCACACACTGGTCACTGTAATACTGCACAGAGCAGCTCCCTCCCTAGACCCCTCGGTGTGCTCCACCTGCTCATCCAGCCTCTGGCAAGCCACTCGGCTTTTTACTATCTCCATAGTTGTGTTTTCCAGAATGTCATGTCGTCGGATTTGATTTTTTTCAATAATAGTTTTTCCTCTTTTATCTGGAACCTTTTGCAAAACACTTGGCGTTTCTCATCTGAAGTGTGACGTCCTTTGAATGCCTCCCCACATGTTCCTTACCCTGTTGGTACTCAGTTTACATCTCTGAGTCTTTACTCTTGGGCAGAAGCACAGCAGTTTGATGTCACGGACCATGAAGTCAGATAGGTCTTGTTTCAAATCCCAGTTCCACTGCCCAATTTGATGTGTCCACCTTTGAGCCTCAGTCTTCTTATCTCTAAAATTACCCAACTGCTGCGTGCGGTTACTCATGCTGTAATCCCAGCACTTTGGGAGGCAGAGGAGAAAGAATTGCCTGAGTCCAGGGTTCAAGACCAGCCCGGGCAACTTGGTGAGACCTCATCTCTACAATAAATAAAAAAATTAGCCGGGCATGGTGGCACATACCCATAGTCCCAGCTACTTGGGAGGCTATGATGGCCATGAGTGTGCCACTGCACTCCAGCCTGGGCAACAGAGTGAGACTCCAACTCAAAAATAAAATAAAATTAAAATGTCCTTACCTGTGCACAGGAATGTATGAGGTAGCATATGATGGTATCATCCCTGACGCTTAAAAAGCACCCGGTATGTGACCCTTACCTTTTCCTTTGTGCTAACTAACTTTGCAGTTAACCAAGGGAGAGGTCATGGCATCCTGTGGCATGGGCACTGTACCCTTTCTGTGGTGGGCCTTCCACTGAGTTGACCAATGGATGCAGCTGGGGTGAGACAGGAGAACACTTGGCAGGTCCAGCAGGCCCAGTGGTGTGTGCATGGACTGTCGGTGGGAAGACTGCACGCCCACGGTCCTGCCCTGAGTTCCTAGGGTCTTCAGCCAAGGGTAGCAGGCTCCAGGGGTGTTCCGGGAGCAGGAGGACATGCAACACATCTTAGCACATCTCTTCTCATTCCCTTTGTCCCGGTAGAGTTGAAAAACAAGCTGAATCTTAGTCCATTGCTGCCTCTCGCAACACATCAACATTCCAGAAGTTTGTGCCAAGGACCTATGCACTTCCATTTAAGGCAGTGTTGGCACGCACCAGCGCCTTCTGATTTGTGAACCAAACCCAGGAGCAGCAAAGCCACAACCTCCTTGGGGGTAGGGAAAGTCCAGTCCCTGCAGTGTCCTGGAAAATCCTGCTTCCTGCAAGAAGCCCCTGGCTCCGTGTGTGTGTGTGTCTGTGTGTGTCTGTGTGTTTGTTTTAAGCTTAAACTTCAAAAAAAAGGCTGTGTGTGTGTGTGTGTGTGTGTGTCTGTGTCTGTGTGTCTGTGTGTGTGTGTTTGTTTTAAGCTCAAACTTCAAAAGATTCCCTTGGCCAGTAATGACTGGAACTTGGCTGTCATGAAAATCTGTTTATACCTGACACTAGCATGATCTATGCATGTGCAAATGTGTGTGGAGGTTTACACATGTGAGATCATGACAGGATTTCATCTGGAGGAAAACAAAGACCATCCTCCAAGCCACCTTGGTGACCTTGAGACCTGCTTAGAGGGCCCGTGAAAAAGTTAGACCTCTTCTTGCACAGGGGCATAATGTGTTCATTTTAATTGAGGAATCGTGCAGGCTGGCATGCCGGGAAAGAACGGAGCTCTGCCTCTGCCAGAGGCCCGCTTTGCGGCTGCCGCTACCTCCACAGACCACTAGAGGGCGCAAGAGACCGCCCGGTTAGGCCCTGGTGGCTTCAGGAGCTCCACGGAGTGGCGTGGCCTGGAGACAAGTGAGCCATGTGCTAGACCCTTGGCACTTCGTGCCACCACACGTGCCAGAGTCTATGACAAGGACAGGAGCCAGTGGAGCCCCGGGGCATGAGCAGTGTCGTGTGGTCAGCCCAATGCCTGTGGTCTTGCCGACACAGTGGCAGCAAGGTGTGTCAACTGCCGCCTACATCAGCCCGAGACAGTCCCTGAGGGGGCCTGAGCACTAACAAGGGCAGACTTAGTGTCATCTTACCTGCTGTATTTGTCCCCAAAGTGCCCATTAGGAGCGGGGCATGGAGCCTGCCATATAGTGAGGGCTGTAAGAGCCGGCCGGTCCGGGGGCATTGCTTTCCAACTACCACGTGCACATGTGAAGACCACTGTGTTTGTGGAAATCACTGTTGTTACTTTGTAGTTCACTTGTGTGTAAGCAGAATCTGTTTATCTTGTTCTGTTTATACAGTTTTCACAAATGCCAGGAAGCCCAGGCAGCAGAGACCTCGTAATGCCAATGTGGGCTGTGGCCTGGTCCCTGTTCTGTGTATCCTATACAGGTCCCCAAGGGAGCTGAGTAAATGCGTCACACACCAAGAACATTGCCTTTGCCACCAGCTCCCTCACAAGTAAACATCAGATCGTATATGGCTCAGCACCCCCAAACTGTCCCATAGGAGCCAGTGAGTATCTGGACTCTGCCAGCCATTGATGGCCACATGCCCTCTGTGGTCACCGTTTGTCAGTGCCCACTGTCTGCCAGGCTCTTAGCTTATTGTCAGGTTACGTGCACTGGCCCCCTCAGCCTTCACACCTTCTCACGGAAGTGCCCTTAGTGTCTGTGTTGCCACTGAGATTACTGAGGCTCAGGGTTACAAAGATGCTTGCCCCAGCTCATCCCAGCGGATCAAGTCGTCAGCCCCAGAGCCCAAGCTCCCCTCTTTGTACTCAGATCTGCAGTCTCTACCCCACATCCTCAAGGGAGACGTCCCATTTCATAGAAAGGGACACTGAGGCTGAAAAAGATGGTGTGACCTGGATAAGGCCCCCTGGCTAGGGAGTGCAAGCTGGGATTCGGGCTTCAGATTCAGACTCTCCCTGGCCAGGCTGCCCCTTTCTCCTCCCTGCCCCCAGGCCTGGCCTGCAGCTGCATGGGTTATTTTAATCTCTCCTGTCATTCCAGCCAAACCACTGGGCCAGTGAGTCAGCCTCGTGGTTGGGGGAGGAAGGGTACACTGGGAGCCCACAATGGAAGAAGTTTCTCTAGCGGGTGGGCCTCCGGCCCTGCAGTGCTCTTGCACCAAGGGAAGGGCCGCTTTCCTTCAGCCCCAGCTTGGGAGTGGCAGTTGAGAAGAATTTATCGCTAAGGGATTGTGACGCCTTGTCCCCTCCACCCAGGTGTCGGCGGTGCCCACCGTGCTGGCCATCAAGAACGGGGACGTGGTGGACAAGTTCGTGGGTATCAAGGATGAGGACCAGCTGGAGGCCTTCCTGAAGAAGCTGATCGGCTGACGAACAGGGAAGAGCCCTGACTGCCCTGGCCCGCCTGGGATCCTGCGGTCCCGGGGAGAGACCCCATAGAGCTCACAGCCCTCCCATGCAGGCCCTTCTCACCACCTCCCTCCCGCCTGGCCCTGGGGCCCGTGCTTTGGAGCCCAGCCTCCACCCATGGGAGTTACATGTGCTTCCGAGCTGGCTGACTGCCCGCGAGGCCGTCAGGATGGTGCTGCTGCTGATCTGGGGACAGCCGTCTTCCCGCCCACTCTCTTGCCTTCCACTAGGGCCTGTCACAGTCCCCGAGATGCCTGGAGAGAGCCGAGCCCCTGCGGCGTCCGTGCTGGACAGCAACGCCTGGGTTCTTTCCTGCTCCTCTGCCGCCTGCGTTTTCCTTTCCTGCTGCTGTTCTGTAAAAAGAACAAGAAGGAAAAAAGAACCCTAAACTAGTGAGAGTAATATATAATTCTCTCATTTTTTGTAGGTCTATAATAAAGAACTTTCTGTGAGCCCTTCTACCTCCTGCTGTGAAGAACAGACCTGGGGCCCCACACTCAAGTCCCCACCCCCAGAGAGCCACCTCCCTTCTTCCCTCCCCCCCTTTCCTTCCAGGCCCAAGGGCAGAGAACCAGCTGGGGTTGGGGAAGCCTGAGATCCTTGAATGCCACTAGCAGGAGGCTTCACTGTGAACAGATGACACTAATAAAGCTAGGGTTCGCACTGTGGACAGCTTCCATTCTGTCTGGGCTCAGAGCACTGTGACCCTCTCCCAGTCTCAGCTTTCTCTGGCCCCCCACCACCATTTCAACCAGCCCCCTTGTTACTGATGTGTGTCAGTGGTGACTGCTATCCTGAGGATACCTTCATGTGCATGGTCCTTGTTCCTCGGTGGGCAAAAGGGTATTGTCCCCTTTACCTAGATGAGGGCACTGAAGCTCATGGGAACTGGTAGGGTTTTTACCCAGCTGTGGCTGCCTCTGAAACAGGCTTGGTTTTTTGTTCGTTTTTTGAGTTGGAATTTCACTCTGTCGCCCAGACTAGAGTTCATTGGCACACTCCTAGCTGCTGCAGTCTCAATATGCTGGGTTCAGGCATTCCCCCTGCCTCAGCCTTCCCAGTAGCTGGAACTACAGGTGCACGCTACCGCACCCAGCTAATTTTTTAGTTATTGTAGAGACAAGGTCTTGCCAAGTTGCCTGGACAGGTCTCGAACCCATGGAGTCAGGCAATTCATTCACCTCGGCCTCCCAAAGTGCTGGGATTGCAGGCTGAGCCACCAACCCCAGCCTGAAACAGGCTTGTTAAAGCTGATGCCTTGATCCTCTGGGGTCTCCACTTTCTGGTTCCTCAATACTCCAGCAGGTGCCTGGCCCGTCCTTCCTATATATGCCATGGGGACTCTTGCACCTTGGGACCAGACAGCCTCTCCTGGTCCCAGCTCCCCTTGGCCGTGGAGGAGTGGGCTAGGGGCACCAGGCTTGCTAACCAGGAAAACCCCTGCTGGGCACAGTGGCTCAAGCCTGTAATCCCAACACTTTGGGAGGCTGAGGCAGGAGGATTGCCTGAGCTCTGAGGTTCGAGACCATCTTGAGCAATTTGGTGAGCCCTCATCTCTACAATAAATAAAATATTAGCTGGGCGTGGTAGTGTGTGCCTGTAGTTCCAGCTACTTGGAAGGATAAGGCGGAAGGATCACCTGAGCCCAGCAGGTCAAGGATAGCTGTGAGCATGCCACTGTATTCCAGCCTGGGCGACAGAGTGAGACTCCAACTCAAAAAACCCAAAACAAGCAAAAACAAAAATAGCCTTCCCTCTGCTTCCCTTCCCTGGGCCAGGCTGCCCTTTTGGCTTGGTTGCCTGGGTGAAGCGCCAGCTTCCTGTGAGTGTCAGATGCTCAGTAGCAGGAGTATCTCAACACCCTCCCCTGTGGCCCCAGGGTGCCATGTCCGCTGTCTTCAGTGACTCACCCCATTCCTTCTAGGACCCGCCTGGGTTTTTGAAAATTCCACCCAAGGACTGCCTAGGAGGGGTACCTGTGGCACGAGCAGGAGAGGGGCCTTGTAGTCTCTGATGGATCACAGGATCAGGGTCTGTCAAGGGCATGTGGAGACAGAGCCAGCAACTAGCATGAGGAAGGAAACTCATCTAGCGAACATTCTGGAAAGCCAAGAGTGTAAGATTAGTAACAACCATGTGCAGGGGCACTCCTGGGGTCCCAGGCCTGTTCTGTTTGCACCTCACGGTAGCCCCACAGGAAGGAGGTAGTGGCATCATTCCCAGGTTCCGCCTGCGACGCGCTCAGAGAGGTTGAGGAGTTTGTCCAAAGTCGCGAAGCCCATGAGTGGCTGGGCTGGGATTCAGAGCCAGGCAGCAACCCCCCCACTCTCCCCAAGCACCAGCTCACCGCCTACAATCATCTAATAAAAAGTGGTGTGATCCTAGTCTCACAACAAGCAGACAAGGCAGGTGGTGTCAGCTCATTTTACATAGGTGGGGGTATCAGAGTTGCAGAACTTAAGTAAGTGCAGGGTGGGGCCAGAATCCAGCCAGGGCCCTGTCCACCATACCCGATGCCACTCCTTAAAAGGTACCGTTTGCCAAGCACTTTATACACACATTACCTCATTTAATTCCACTCTTGTGAGACAAGTATTATTTACATATTATAAGTCAAGAAACTGGTTTAGAGAAATTGACTTGCCCAAGGTCATGTCTAAACAGTGAGGATGCCAAATTTGAACCCAGCGGAGTCTGACCTCGCCGCCCTGGGTAGGCATGGAGAGGGGTTGGGAGAGGCCTCGGGCCAGAGGCAGGGCCTCGGTGAGGCCCCAGCTCCCTCTCCTTAAAAGGTGCATGGCCCTGTGAGTGGGCCCGTGGCTGTGGCTGCGGCTGTCCCAGGTTGGCATTCTTGCCGTGAGGCTGCCCATGGCCGTGAGTCACATTGGCTCTGAGCACAGAATCCTCTGGGTGATCCTGTTCGACCAATTCCACGGCGCTGACCTCACCAGGGCCATCGCCGGCTCTGCGTCATCAGCCCCACTGTTGCCGTCGGGATGCCACGCCAGCCTCCAGGGCTGGAAGAGGGGTTGGCACTGCCACTGCTGAAGGCCTTTAGCCACCAAGTTGGGAAGCCCGGCAAGTGGTGGGCTTCCAGACATCTCTTCTGATGTCGAGTGCATCCAGTTGCCTATCTGCAAGGAGGACGCAGCACTGGAAGCTTGAGTCTGTGGCCCTGCCTCCTTGACTTCTGCACTCTCCTGCAACCCTCAGCACCACGCTGCCAGCAATTTAGGAGGAGACAGCAGGGGAGCAGCTGAGACACCACCATTCCAGCCCAAGTGGCTCCCAACTAGCAGCGTCAGCATATCTTGAAAGTGTTAGGGTTGGGCCAGGCTCTGTGTCTCAGCCTGTAATTCCAGCACTTTGAGAGGCCGAGGTGAGAGGATTGCCTGAGCCCGCAGGTTCGAGACCCACCCAGGCAACTTGGCGAGACCTCGTCTCTACAATAAATCAAAAATTAGCCGGGCATGGTAGTGCGCGCCTGTAGTTCCGGCTACTCGGAAGGCTGAGGCACAAAGATTATCGGAGCCCGGCAGGTCGAGGCTGCGGTGGCCGGGAGCGTGACACTGCTCTCCGGCCTGGGTGACAGTGAGACTCCAACTCAAAAAAAAAGAGAAAGCATTAGGAGTGAATGTTGGGTGGTCACTCCCGGGTGAACAGAACACGAAGGGAAACTGACCCTGTCCTCAAACAGCCCATACCCCAGAGATGCCAAAACAAGGAGCTGCATCACGCCCAAGCTGATGTCAGGGCAGCATGAAGTGACCTCCCTCCCTCGTGAGGGCACAGGGAAGGCGGGGCTTGCCCTGGTCACAGCACCCTGTAGCAGGGTTTGAACCCAAGTGTCCTGACTCCAGCCAGGCCTAAAGTGAAAATAAGATGAAGCCTTTTCTTTCCTGGGCTTAGGAAAGGGGAGTGAGGAGGGCGGACTCGGACCCAGACCCGTCAGATCAAGAGGATGTTGATGGTGCTGCCACCACAGTCCTTCCCAGCAGTCCTGCCCCTGTGAGGGACCGGGGGGCCAACTCGGCCCCCACCTTGGCCTCCTGGGGAGAGCTGCTTCAGGAACCAAAGGTAGTTTTGGCCAGGCTGCGGAAATCCCTAATGTGTGGGCCCTGGGCTGGGAAGGGCCCAGAAAACAATGTTGGGGCTGTGTCCACGGCAGGCAGGATGCTGTGCGACAGCCAGGCTTCCAGTCCTTGCCGCAGTTCCTCCTGCTGCCTGGAACTCCAGCTGCGGGTGTGGCCCTGAACCTGGCTCCTGGTCCAAGGCTCTGCAGGAAGGCTGGGCCACTGGTTGTTCCAAGCATCACCTCTCCAGCCACCTCCTGGCAGCGGGGCCACTGCTGGCTACCCCACAGTGATGTAAGTAAGGCAGGTAGAATCCAATCTGGATTCAAATCGTGCCCTTGACTCCCACTGGTTATGAAACCTTGGGTCAACTGCTTCACCATTATGAGACTCTGTTTCACCACGGTAGCATGGGGGTGACCATGGCGGCTAACACTTACTGAGCACGTGTTTTTGTGGGTTTTTTTTGAGTTGGAGTCTCACTCCATCGCCCCGACTCTGCAGCCTCGACCTGCTGGGCTCCAGTGATCCTTCCACCTCAGCCTTCCGAGTAGCTGGAACTACAGGAGTACGCTACCACACCCAGCTAGTTTTTGATTTATTGTAGAGATGAGGTCTCACCAAGTTGCCCAGGCGGGTCTCGAGCCCGCGGGCTCTGGCAATCCACTCACCTCGGCCTCCCAAAGCGTTGGGATTACAGGTTGAGCCACCGAGCCCAGCCAGAGCACATGTTTCATGAATCGTCTCATTGAGACCTCACAGCAATCCCAAAGGGGGGACTACTATTGCCATTTTATAGATGAAGAAACTGAGGCTCAGAGAGCTTAAGTAACAGGTATCCAAGCTTGGATTTGAACTCTGATGCGTTTGAGTCCAAAGTCTCTGTGTTTTTGCTCATTAGCGATTCTACTTTTCCTTCGGGGCAAAGTTTTCCACCATTCTGAACCTCAAAAGCACCATGAGCAGACTGGTTCTAACGACAGTCACTGCTGCCTGAGGTCCTGGTATAGCGTATGGAAACACTGTGCCATGGTTTGGGGGAGGCTCCTAAGATTTGGCTCTCAGCTTTCCGCTCCCTCCTCTCCCCTTCACCCCCCTCACTTTCCCTGCTCTAAGCTACATCTTCAACAGGAAACACCAGGCTTCCCGAGATAAGGACCCAGACCCACCACAGGAGGGTCCGGCTGAACCAGGCCAAGGGCCTTACATCCAGCCCTGTGTCCTGGCCCTGACCCCTGCCACCATCAACCCCTCCTGCTCCAGAGCTGGCTCTGTCAGTGGTGCCTGTGTTTTGGTAGCCCTGGGGACCTAGAGGTGGTGACCTCACCCTTGGGGAATGTCCACTGGAATCCACCCTGATTTGTCCTCCTTCTCATGACCCCCAGCTACTTCTGACCACCCTCTCCCTCATGCTGCGATGCCTCCCAAGGGCTCTGGGATGCCCCTGCTCTGCAGCAGCTAATTACCCACTGGGGGCAAGTTGGTTCTCCACCTCCTGCCAGCTTGCCAAGCCAGCTGAGGCAAGTACCTGTCTGCCTCTGGTGTGCTCCCTTCCTCAGCTTCCCACCAAGGAGGCAGTCCAGTGGTTGTCCCTT